AGTAATTCGCTTGCAATTTCTTGAATTGTAAAGGCCTATTTCTGAATAATTTTCAAATTGGGAAATTGAAGTTATTCTCCTTGTTCTTGTCCTTTCAGAAAAAGACTTGCACATTGACTCATAACTTCCTAACTGTGTTCTCATCTACTGCCGCTGGTGAAAACCAGCCCTCTGGGGCTCCCACGCCCAAGAACACCGCCTCCGGCCTATGTGTATCTAGGGCAGTTAATGATCCCGGATCCAGCATCCGCCAAGGTTAAGTTCAGGGAACGTCCCAAGCTCCCTCTAAGGAGGACTTCTTCCAACTCTCAGGAGGAGGTTGCTCATGAGCCCCGCCCTCTGTCGCCCCTGCTGGGCCAACACCCGACCTCAGGCCCTCAAGTGAAGGGCCATCCCACTCCTGCCTCACGTCCTGCTCAAGCCCCAAGGTCATTTCTACAGGGAGGGGCACTTCAAATGCCTTGAGTAATCTTCTGGACATTTTAAAATATGTTTCTGCTTGTGTAGTTGTTTTGTATTAAAGAACAAGCAAAAAAAAATATCTTCTTTACCAGATATTTCCTGTACCATTGCGCATGTGCTTTGAGTAACATGTAGGGGAAACTTAGTTGGGTGTATACATGTGTATGTGCAAGAAAGATGGGATGGGAAAGAGAGAGACAGAGAGGCAGAGACAGGAAGACAGGAGGCTGGGGGAAAGGCAGGAAGAAAAAAGGAGAGGTTAATAAAAATACATCTATTAACTTGATATTCAGTAGAGTCATTTATTTTCTGTGCTAATTATGCATGCTTTCAGAATACTCTTTCAACTGAGACATTTTTGGAGAAATTTAAAAAGAAATTTACTTTAGGAAACAACATATCCTATCTAACATGTAGATGTATGGAAGCTACATCTCCAACATAGGTCATGTTTATGCATATAGACTTGACCATGGCATGGTTCATAAATGCCTTCCTCCCTGGGGGACCAGCAGTTAGCGCAATGGCTATGTCACTGGACTCTCATGTAGTCAACTGCAGTTCGAGTCCTGGACCCAGTGGCTTAAACTCACACCAGGCACATGTGCGTGCGTGCCCAAGATCCCGAGAGGAGAGTGGAGGAGAAGGGATTGCGGCGTGGCCATCCTCCCTGGGGGGTGATTTCTCACTTTCTGTCTCTCTGTCTCTGTCTTTCTGGCGAGTGCATGCGCCCTATAGCAAAAACCTCTCCAAAAAAAAAAAAAAAAAAGAAATGCCTCCCTCCCCAAGAGAGCCGACCTTGATGCCCAGGGTCTATGCATGTCTCCTCTGTGGAAAGCGGGCTTTGCAGGTGTGGTTAAGTTAAGCATCTCAAGGTGGGGAAACGCCTGGATTATCCAGGTGGGACCACATAGTCTCAGGAGTACATTCAGGCACAAGGGAAGCAGGAAGGACAGGGGAAATCTGAAAATGTTGTGCTACCGGCCTTTTTTTAAAAAGTTCATTTGATTTATCCATTATACGAGAGAGAGAAAGAGCAGATACCCCAGACCCTGTCTCACATGACTCAGTCCTCCCCTGCCCAGCCAGCAAGGATCATGGCACCCAGGCATGCCCAACATGTTCAGGCTGACCTGGCGTCCAAACCCAGGCCTCCCAGTGAGTCCAGTGTCATGAGGCAGGGCCCACCACCCGCCTACTCCAATGTCTTCAAGTGCTTCCCGGGTATTTTCCACAAGTGGTTTATAGCTTGAGGCTTTACACTTAAATCTTTGACCCATTTTGGGTTGATTTTTGTTAATGGTGAAAGATAGGTCTATAACAATTAAATGCGAAAAGGACAGATGTGGGAAGTACTGTGGCTTTTTGTTTCACATTCTGCTCTGAGCCAAGGGCAACTCTTCATGGCTTGGAACTATAGCTGCTTGCAAATAGAACTGGCCACAATTTTTTAAGGCAAACCTAACTTGCTTCCTGGAGATCAGTGGCAAATTTTCCTCCTTCGCTGCTTAACAGGCAGTGTTACACCTCTGGAAACTTTCGAACATTCGGACTATTTTCCAGAAGAGTCCTTTGTTAGCATCCATGCTCTCCGGGCCAGCTAGATTCCAGCAGTGTGAATCTTTTATTTTCCTTTTCTTTAAATTTATTTTTTTACATTAATTCACTATACATCATTAAAGCATACAAAATGATTTTTCCATCCAGAATACACTGTATATTGGCTCAATCAAGCACATCAACATACGTGTTATCAACAAATATTTTTCCATTTCTTATGTCTTGTATATTTTGCTTTGTTTTGCCATCCTTGATTCCCTATCCCTCACCCTCTGCCGTGTCCCACCCTCCTCCCACATTGTCTCTGGTATCCATGGTTGCTTTCTATGCCTTCTCCCCCCATTTAATTGATTTGCTAATGAACTTAATTAGTCTAAATATTTGCAATAGCGAATGCAGCTGATGCATACACATCTATGAACCCAGCAGTGTGAATCTTCTTGAATGCTGAATTGTGGTCAGGGAAAACAGCTGCATTAGGATCTCTGTGGCTTGGTTTTGTGCTTTGCATTTGTTTTCACATTTATTTCAGATGAAGACCCTGCACTTTAGATATTGAGAAACATCCTCAGATTCACCCTCAGCACTGGAACTTGAGCCCAGACCTGAGCTAACCTGACTCACAGCCCCATCTGTCCCCAGTACCACTGTGAGCTTCCTAGGGACGGTGCGGTCTACATGACAGAATTGCTTCCACTACCGTGGTGGGATTCCTAGGGAGAGTGTGGTCTACATGACAGGATTGCTGGGAAGAAATCTTGGCTTTACTTTAACTTATTGCTTAAACCTTAGAGTCATTTTCTCTCCCCCAAAATTACTTTTCTCATATGTAACATGGGAATAATGGAAGACCCACCTCATAAGGTAATTTGGAGGATCAAAGTGTTAATGCGTGATTAGTCCAGATACATGTCCCCAACGTGCACGAGAAGCCCCAGCAGCGCCAACTGTTGCTGTCACTAAATTTCATGTGTATGAGCGTGCGTGAGTACTCCATTGGCATGTTGTAATTTCTGAATATCTCTTAACGGAGTTAAATGGTAATGTGTGCTTCCCCTTGAGAGAAGCCTATTTCCTTATTTACTGTGCACACTAAAATTGCTTGCAGAGAAGAGAGATGAATGTGTTCACAAAAGAGCTGCAACGTGCTCATCATTATACCCGGCTGGGTAATGGCCATGGCCAGTTTCCCAGTTAGCCAGTCCCCGCAGCCACGGTGGCCACAGCCCTCACAGCCGTGGATACCACTGTCCCCGCAGCCGTGGATACCACCTTGACATAATTTTTCTTTCTTTCTTTCTTTTCTTCCTTTTCTTTTCTTTTTTTTTTTTTTTTTTTTTTGCAGGAACATGTGGAATTACGATAGACAACACCATCTGACAATTAAAATGAGTGATTGTGGTGCTTCAAGATGTCTACTTGCTAATTAGAGAAGTGATTGAAGAGGTATAATTGGCAAATATGCATGTTAGCAGCTAACTAGTATTCTGATATTCGCTAGTGAAGCTTACAGAGACTCATTTTCTCTCCGAAATTATTCATCATCTGTTTCAGAGTAATAAACTTTAGAAAACAATTTCTAAACAATTATTTCTAGCTATAAGAACTTACCCCCAAAGCATGACATCAGACTTTTCACTCGGAGCAATGTAAGCTCTTAAGAAACTTTTTTCCAAAAACGTCACAGATTGGTCCTGCGGTGGTACGGTGGTAGAATACGGCACTCTGAGAGGCTGACCCATGTGGGAAGGTTCTGGGTTTGCATCCAGAGACCTCCCTGTGTACGCCAGGTGCCCCCACGTTCATGACCCACGCTGGCTGAGGTTGGCAGTAGATCTGGGCATAAATTTTGTTAGGGTGCTGTCTCTCTCTCTCTCCCCTTAGTCTCCATCTCCCTCGCTCACAGAAGCACATAAATAAACTTTAATGAACATCCGAAGTGCATCACTCCTATTTTTCTATCTCTTCCTTTTCCACTTTATACAAACCTTCCTCTTCCCTAACTATTCCACAGCATAAAACGCAGGATCACTATTTTGGATTTCTTAGATTTTCCACGCCCACTCTGCAGTTCCTAAGAAGGTGCTGCATCATCGTTGCTAGGAATGTGTATTTGATAACCTCCAAAACTACTATATTTTAGTTTTCTCTTTTTGCTTCACCTTCTTCCTATTGAAAACCCCATATTCCCATATTCTCTCTTTGTACCTGTAGGTCAACTCATCCTTGAGTCTTTCAGTTCTTCTTGTTAGACCAAAACACACACCTGTGATTCCTTTTATTTTATGTAACATGTCACCCAAATGTGAAAAGCAACTTAAAGGAAGTCTACAGTTATAATAAAAATCAATATGAATACAAGAATGCACCTCTAACAGTATTAGAACTATGTATGGATGGATCAACGCAATGAAAAGTACAACAGTAGAAAATCTGCATAATAAAAAGAAATACTCTCTTTTTTATTTATTTATTTTGGGGGGAGAGGTTTTTGCTATAGGGCACATGTGTTTGCCAGAAAGACAGAGAGACAGAAAGCGAGAAATCACCCCCCAGGGTGGGATGTCCCTTCTCCTCCATTCTCCTCTTGGGATTTGGGCACACACGCACACGCGCCCGGCATGCATCTAAGCCGCCGGATCAAAGACTCAAACCACAGTGGGCTACATGGGAGTTCAGCGACATAGCCACTGCACTAACTGTTGGTCCCCAGGGAAATACTCTCTGATGCATGCACAGTGTGCAGAGTGATGAGAAATACGAGCCCTGGGAGGATTGTGGGTGTTATAACCCAAGGAAACGTGATTTAGGTTGAGTACAAATTTATTTAAGGAAGGAGGCAGAAAGTTACAGTAAAACACTGGCTGATATTTAATAGATCTCGATAATGGAGAAATATAGGAATAAGTACAGAAAATGGAAAATTTCCAGAAATATAAAATTCAAATTTGCTACAATTTGACAGGTCACAAGGGGATGGTGTTATGAGTAGAAGAGGAGACCCCACACCTCGGTGAGAATCACATGACAAGGTATGAGGCTTTACGTAAGGCAAGAGACTACACAGAGACAGGAGAGGCTTCAAGTTCCCAGATTCTAGGAGCCTGCAGGGCACTTAGTGACCTGCCACCTCCTGAACAAGAAGCGCCTGGGGAGACGTGTCCTGGTTCACAGCCATGCCGTGTGCACAGAGCCTCCCTGTGTGCACAGAGCCTCCCTGGTGTGCGCACAGAGCCTCCCTGGTGTGTGCAGAGACCTCCCTGGTGTGTGCACAGAGCCTCCCTGGGAGGACGTGCAGCAAGGCTGCACTCCAGACTGGGCTGGTCCTCTTAACACTTCCCTCCCCTGTTCATTTTTCTCTTTTTTCCTTTTAAAGTTTAAATATATTTTTTCCATAAAAGAGAGACAGAGGGACAGACACTTCCATCAGGACCCTAACACTGCAGTTCATCCCAGTCCCCTCATGTTCAAGGGGGCTCCAGGTGCAAACCCAGAAGATCCCATGTGTGTCCGTGCACACGTGTTTCACGCCGTGGCGCTGTCCTTCCACCCAGCACCTTTTTTTCCTATATCAATTTACCAGGTGAAATATTTTGTCTGCTCTCCCAGGCACACAGAAACTATTTGATACACCAGTAAAAGGAAGATGTTTTATTAATGAAAACACATGACCTTACTTTGTTTTTCTAATTCTTAAAAATTCTGAGACCTTTGGTGTACAATGTAAATGAATTGACATATAAAGCAATATTTAATTCATGTCATTTCCACCAAATTTTAAATCCCTCATTTTCTTTTTCATTCCTCCCATGTTCACCGTTTTAGAAATGTCTCTCCAGTATTCAGGTTTATTATGATTCTGTTTCTGTCATTTACTACCTGATTGTATAAAACAATGACCCAAAGCATTTTCTCTTTTATTTTTTAACTGAATTGGACCCATGCATATTTTAAAAACCAAGTATTGTATGCCTATGGTATCCAGGCTCGGCGATAGGCAAAGCTATAGTAACGGGGATGAGATGGAGGGAAATGCAGGTAGAGCAACTGCATCACATTCGAATGATCTCCCAAAGGAGTACAATGAGATATTTCATTAGGAAAATTATTCATGCCAGTCAAAGTGAACTGTGTTTCTGTCCACATGGATCATAACCTGTGTTTCATCTCCTCTCTCCCATCCTGAATACACTGGACATGGTTCAAAGATGTTAGCACACGTGCAATCTCCCGCAGATCATTGTCCAGTTTTGTTGGGTGGGATTTTGCTAAACAGAGTGGAGTTCATCTCAGTTGGAGGAAACGATAACTGAGTATAGGTTCTTTAGAAGGCAGCAGAGACAGGCCCTAAAGTGAGCTGTGCAGAATAACCTGCGAGGCAGAAAGCAGCCGCCGTGCAGCGACAGCGCTAAGCAGCTGCGAACACCGGAACCCGCTGCCTGAGCCAGACTGAGGGTCACCGGACGAGAAAGCACTTGCTGTTTGGAAGGTGGCCCTGCCCTGCCCCTACGGGACCGTGACATGCTTCTTCACAGCAGCAGGATAGACCCTCCTATCCTGGTCACTCCGACAAGTCTTGGTAGGAATTCAAGGCCGAGTTAGAACAGCGGACCTCAGTTAGAACCCGAGATGGGTTAGAGCAGTGGACCTCAGTTAGAATGCAAGTCCTGCCACCAGAGCATCTCCACACGTAGCGGGGAGCTGTCTGCAGGCACGGGTGGATGGAGTTGAGGTGCCGGGTGAAACATCTGCCCAGCCGCAACGGCCTTGCAGGAGTTGACAGGCAGAACCTCAGCTGCATCATACTCTATACACAATAAAAACAGAATTGGGGGATCAGCAGTTAGCATAATGGCTATGTTGCTGGACTCCTATGTAGTCAACTGCGTTTCAAGTCCCAGACCCGGTGGCTTAAATTCATGCCAGGCGTGAGCGCGTGCATGCCCAAGATTCTGAGAGGAGAATGGAGGAGAAGAGATTGCGGCGTGACCATCCCCCCTGGGGTGGGGGGGAGTGATTTCTCACTTTCTGTCTCTCTCTGTCTCTCTCTTTCCAGCAAGTGTACGCACCCTATAGCAAAAACCTCTCCAAAAAAGAAAAAAAAAAGAAAAATGGAAGTAGGAACCTGGCAAGTGCGACTACTCATAAATAAGGACAGCCTAGGTTTAACCCTTTACGGTGCGACTACTCATAAGTAAGGACAGCCTAGGTTTAACCCTTTGCGGTGCGACCACTCATAAGTAAGGACAGCCTAGGTTTAACCCTTTGCGGTGCGACCACTCATAAGTAAGGACAGCCTAGGTTTAACCCTTTGCGGTGCGACCACTCATAAGTAAGGACAGCCTAGTTTAACCCTTTGCGGTGCGACCACTCATAAGTAAGGACAGCCTAGGTTTAACCCTTTGCGGTGCGACCACTCATAAGTAAGGACAGCCTAGGTTTAACCCTTTGCGGTGCGCTGTTTCCCGTGGAGCACCACTTTCTAAAAAGCGTGAGCATAAAACAGATGAAGCACCTGTGAGTCTTCAGATGGGGGATGCAGAGGTCATGCTTGCTGAGCCCTGGCTGGCTCCTGTGCTGGGAAATCCCTCCAGACTATTCCAAACGGGGCTTTGCACTGACCCTGTGACTGAGAGGGCACCAGAGCTGGTGCATCACGTTCCCCGCACCTCCACAAGGAGAGTGAGATAAGGAGTCAGGAAACCTGGGTTTTCACAGTTCTCCTTCTTAACGCTTTGGATCAGGCTCTGCCTTGGTGTAGTTTAACTGCAGTCCCATCGTGTGCGGCTGTAGAGGCACCTCCAAACAGCTACATAAGACTTCTGCAGAAAGTCCTGAGACACGAACGAAGCTTCCGAGAGAAGGTGACAGAGAAGGGGTACACTGGGAGACAGAGATCCTCAGTGAGGTCATTCAGAAATAAAACTGAAAATAGTCCTTCGTGAATAAAATTCACTGTAAAAAATAACCGTGTTTCTCAAACATAATCTTATCTTGAGATATTTAAAGCCACAGTGAAGGCATATTTTTATTCCCACATAATAACAAGGCTACTCGGTTTTGATCAGATAACTTCCATTCTAAGGTATATTGTGAATATCAGTTTTTGCTTGATTTATTACAAGGCTTTGAGATTAAAGATTTATAAAGAACATGCTGACAGTCTCAGTTCTGACAATTAAATTGCTTGCATTATAATTAGATAAGAGTTTAATGATATTAACCGAAACTGAGCAGAAAACACCACAGATAAGTTAGACAAATAGGATTTTCGAGATTTCATTTCTAATGCAAAAGCTACTGCATTACTTAGTAATAGCTCAACTCTTCAAAATCAGCATACTAACACGCACTTGTCATCCAAGTGGGGAAAGAG